CAGTAAACACAAGAACACCGCCTTGATACGTTAAACAGCACAAATTTCAGTTAAAATATCTGCTAAATCGACGGAAACACGTTAGAGCGTGCAATTTTTACTCGAAATATTTCCTTGAAACGTATTCCTTGAAACAACGAAGATACTTCAGGTGGCGAGATTTTGCACAACACACTGTATAGAAATATACTTAATACTGAAGAAGCTCGTTGGTTAAATACTTACGCGTACACCGATCGGTTGCCTGACAGACAAGGACGAGACGAACAAGGAACGTAAACACCATGCGAATAAACAAAAACACGTTGTCCTTTCTAGTTCAATTTTTTTACAACAACTAATAAAGAGATATCGCGATTAGTTCAGTTTCTAGCGATAGAAACGTAATTTCTCGTTGTACCGGTCGAAATCATTTCATAATTGTCCATATCCTGTTTTTGCTTTTCAACGTGCTGTCTTTTCGCAAATTCTGTCGCGCTGCCCTCCAGTTTTTTTTTTTTTAATTATGTCGCAATAGAATTCAATTGCAATTGTATACAATTAAATCGCGATGAAACGACTGTTTTATTTTTCAATTCGATCGCTGACGGAGCTCGTCATAACGCAGAATATTTCTTCGTGAAAAACAGCCAACTGGTTAAAGGAAACACGCTACGTTTTAACGAAATCACGTCAAATTCAGCAAATAATGCGCCCGTGCGTATCACGATACGAGCGTATCGCGTATATCCGAAAGGTTAATCATAGTGATTTTCAATAGATCACTTAGTTAATTGTGGTGTTTAGCGATGGTTCGCCAATGTGGTTGTAATTCCCAGCTCTAAACATTCGATTAATTCAGCTAAAATAGTCACGTTTCATTGTCAGACTTTACCAGCCTGGCAACATATCATTGTTTAAATATCAGCCGATTGCTGTTTCCTGCGCGGTTACATGCTCCGGCCCAACGACGTAATCGAATTACGAAGGCGAGCAAACTACGATACGTTTTAATTGACAGGACACGATCTATTGGCTTGGCCAATATACAAATTGGATGATATACGAATCTTTATGGAATCTTAGTTGTAACGTAAAATTGTATAATATACAAATCTTTGTGCAAGCTGAAGTCCATTCGCGTAACTACAACTCGCGCGTACTAATTCTGACGTGAAGAACGAAGAAATAAAGAAGGAAGAATTCTTAAGGGATTAATATGAAAGTACAGGAAAATAGGACGAGCCCGATCCTCGAAAAAGCGTCTTTTTCGTTCTCTTCTATCGTGTCTTATCATCTACAATTAATAAAATCATTGCAAGTTAGCATTAGGTCGCGATATTGCGGTGAGAATTTTATTCTCGAGATGCTGGAGAAACTATTTTCGCGCGTTGTTGTGTGTAAATTTTATGGACAAATCTGATTAACATTTTCGATCGCTGCTTTATTTCCCTCTTTTACGAAATACGTCAAACTTCCTGGAATAATATCGAAGCTTTCGATCGTTGTTTTTCGCCGCTGTCTTCATTTTCTTCATATTTCCAGCTATCAAAAAATTGCAGAGAAAACTGTCGAATCGACAAAAATCAACTGCAACGTGCGCTACGATCTGCTGGGTTGTCCAAAAAGTTTCTTTCGTTTCATAGGGCGATAATAGACGAGCGACAATTTCTGTTTTATATTATTTTATTGAATTAGGTATCATTCATTTCGTTCTATTTCTGTTACTATGTTCGTGCATGAAACAAAAAACATTGTGCGTCTGTTATTTCCTTGTAAAACGAAAGAAACTTTTCGGACAACCTAATACCTTCGCGCGTTGTTGTATGTAAATTTTATAGATAAATCTAATTAACATTTTCTGTCTTTCGTCGCTGTCTTAATTGTCACAATATTTCCAGCTATCAAAAAATTGCACACCAACAGAGAAAATTGTCGAATCGACAAAAATCAACTGCAACGTGCGCTACGATCTGCTGGGTTGTCCAAAAAGTTTCTTTCGTTTCATAGGGCGATAATAGACGAGCGACAATTTCTGTTTTATATTATTTTATTGAATTAGGTATCATTCATTTCGTTCTATTTCTGTTACTATGTTCGTGCATGAAACAAAAAACATTGCGCGTCTGTTATTTCCTTGTATAATAAAACGAAAGAAACTTTTCGGACAACCCGATACCTTCGCGCGTTGTTGTATGTAAATTTTATGGATAAATCTGATTAACATTTTCGGTCGCTGCTTTATTTCCCTCTTTTACGAAATTCGTCAAACTTCCTGAAATAATATCGAAGCCTCCGATCGTTGTTTTTCGCCACTGTCTTCATTTTCTTCATATTTCCAGTTATCGAAAAATTGCATACTGATAACGGAGAAAATTGTCGAATCGAGAAAAATCAACTGCAACGTGAAGAACAGCAAAGAAGAACAGTAAAAAGAACAACGAAGAACAGTAAACGAACGACTAAGAGGCAGCGATAGTTGATCGGAAATGTTAATTACTTTGATGCTTGTTATGCTGCATTAAAAATGAATAATGCTAACACGACTGAACTTATTCAACGATCTAATCAATTGCAGCATCGTTGTACTATCACACGATGGAAACCAAAATTTGCACGCGATTTCGATCAGACACAAAAAGGAATCGCGTGCGGACTCGCGATACTGTACAGAAATTGCGCGACGAGCCGTTTAAACAGCAACGCGTTACCGATTAACCGGCTAAAATTCCCAGGAAAAAAAGCAACTCGTCGAGGATCGGTTCGTTGTTTTCTGTTAGTCCTCCATCATCCACCGCGATACTTTACGCGCGACACGCGCTCCAAATCTCCGGGTATCGGGTTACAGCGATGCAGCGATCGAAGGGGCAACCTTTTTTGTGGAATTTCGATGGCCGAGAGGAGGGAGACCGGCGGAGGCTGGCGTATCGGTCGATTCCGAAGCCGGAGGATCGCGTGCGAGCCAGGAAACGGATTATGGTTTTTACGAGGCGCGAAAACGCGATAACTCGGCGAGAAAGAAGCAGCGGCAAATGTATCTTCGATTGTGTATCGGACACTGTGTATCCCGATATTCCCAATGGATATGTTTTATGTATGGCGCGAGACGCTTGCAATTTATACTGGAGACATTTTTTTGCGTCGCGCAGAGATACGACAGAAACTGCGCTCTGCGGTTGCAGTTCCTTCGCATCGAACGTACGCGAACTTCGCGAGATCCCGCAGTGGCCCACCGAAATATTTAAAATTACAGAAAGCTTTTTTTCATGGAAATGGAATTATTAATTTGGAAATATTAATACACAGAAGTTTCTTACACATATACTATATGGTTGGAAAGATTTTGAAACTCCATTGGCATTGAAAATGTATTATATTCATTCGTTGAGAATGTTGGAGAATTCGGTTGTTGTTTGGTCGAATAAAAACGACGCGGAAACAACTTTCTACTTTTACTTCGCGTGACGTATCGAAAGAAAAGACGTATAGTTTGGTAGTATCGTCGTTAGACGTAATACGAGATCGTTGCTGGAATACGAAGAAGATTGAAAGTGTTACTATGGTGGTTTGTTGGAGAATACAGAATAGACATGTTGTTCCTCGTTGTTCGCAGGATGTTCTTGAAACGTAACGTATGACTTGACAAGCATATTATAATCGTGTTATTAGAAATATATCAGGATATAAGTTATCAATGTTTCCAATAACTCATTTAATAAACTCCTTATCTCTTGGATGATGACAAAAATTTATTGAGTGCCAACAGACGATATTTAATATCGTCGATATTTAAGCTTCTCTACGAAAATACGATACGACGATAAATATTGACAGTGTTGCGTTGGCGATATATATCGATCCTCCTGGTTGAAGATCTCGAAACATCGACGCCTCAGACGATCAATATGCAGGATAGTTGGTAACTGGTGGTACAAGCGGAAAGGGGGTGATTCTACGCGAAAAAATAAGTCGAAAATATAGAATAACAATTTTTCGTTTGAAGTTTTGTTTTCGAGAAAATCGACTTTGAACTTTCGCTCGGTACGCGTGCCGTACGTTACAACGGATCTCACTGTAGATCGTTGTCTCGATGGAAAAATTAAAAAAATATAAAACAAATTAAAAAAAATTTTTATTTTTAATTTTTAAAAAAACGGGAGGCGATAAAGTGCACGCGTATCGAGCGAAAGTTCAAAGTCGATTTTCTCGAAAACAAAGCCTCGAACGAAAAATTTTTATTCTATATTTTCGACTTCCTTTTTCGCGTAGAATCACCCCCTTTCCGCTTGTACCACCAGTTACCAACTATCCTGCATATTGATCGTCTGAGGACACTCAGATCGAATTTCTCGTACCAATGTGTCTTATACTGCCTTTTTCACAATCTCATCGTCTTTCGAAGCTAATTTCATTTGTCAAATGGATAAAAGAGTGCTAATTGACATACATTAAATTAAATCAACCTGTCGCCTTATGATATCGAGTCGTATTCGTGTTATCGATTGCAGCTTCCATTTAACAAAATTACAACTATGACGATATGTATAAAATTCATAACAAACTGCAGTCTTTGATTTTAACCTTTTAGCCTGAACACTGTCGCAAACGCTAAATACATATCGATGAATACTAATTCAAAATTTTCCACCCTATGATATCGATATTCAACGAGAGCTGCCGAAAAAGAATTTACAAGGCAAGTAAATTAAAATTGAAAGTGAAACAATAAAAAATGAAAAAAGCTCTCTGATAATTTCTATCTGCTGGAGTAACAGCCTATTTGCTAAATAAAATCAGCTCGCATTTGCCGTGCGATCTGAACCTTCCACCGTTTCTTTTTCTTTTTTTTTCTTTTTTTTTTTTCTCGTAGTTATCATTCGCCTCATTCGGCAACTCGCATCGAATAAAATTCGTTTGAATTCAGCCGGAAGCGTGTTCCGGTAATTTCGTTCATCCACATATCCACCAAGCATGGTTCAGTTTTTTACTTTCTTTCTCTCCTTCTTTCTGTTTACACATAGAAGCATGGAGCACGGTGCTGCCTACGGCGGGTGCTGGTGATTACTGGGCGTGGGAATACAGTGAGTCACGCTAATTACTAAGCTAAAGGGACCACGATAATGTAGTCCGGAGTAGGTAGACGTATCGCTAGTATTGATCAGTAGATCGTAGTAGCTCTGGTTAATGCATTCCGCTCCGTGTCTCGTACACCCGAACCATCGTCCGTGCTATTTCTTTATTTCCTTGTTAACAGTTGCGTCTTAAGGGGGTTTCCCGAATTAGAATGTTCTAAAACAGCGTCTTTTTGTAATTTTTTTTTAAGAAGGGAAAGAAGGAAATTAAGTCATTGAATTTTGAGATGTGGTTTTATATATATTTAACGAATGCAAAAAAGTTTTTTTTTCAAGTAAACTAAACAAATTAGAACAGATTTCTAAGTCTGTTTCATGGCGCGAAAGATCCACCACGTAATTCTTGACCGAAACAAAAATACAAAAAAGGATTCAATTATTATATATTTTTCTTCTCGATGAACTATAAAAGTTCGTCGGGAAGTTCATTTAAATAATTGTTATAGCACCCTAAAGTTTATTTTTCTTTTTATAAAACACATTGTTTCTTTAAATCCGCTAAAATTTTTAATTTCACACTATTTTCTGCCTCTTTTTTAATTCATCGATGAACCATAAAAGTTCGTCGAAAAGTTTATTTAAATAATTGTTATAGCACCTCAAAGTTTATTTTTCCTTTTTATAAAACACATTTCTTTTTTAAACCCGCCAAAATTCTTAATTTCACGCTATTTTCTGCCTCTTTTTTAATTCATCGATGAACCATAAAAGTTCGTCGAAAAGTTTATTTAAATAATTGTTATAGCACCCTAAAGTTTATTTTTCCTTTTTATAAAACACGTTTCTTCTTTAAACCCGCCAAACTTTTTAATTTCACGCTATTTTCTGTCACTTTTTTAATTCATCGATGAACCATAAAAGTTCGTCAAAAAGTTTATTTAAATAGTTCATCGAGGAGAAAAATACATAATAATTTAATCCTCTTTTGGTTTTTCGTTTCGTTCAAGAATCACGAGGTGGATCTTTCACGCCGATTGAAAACTGCAACCCATGAAATAGGCTTAGAAATCTGTTCTAATTTTTTCTTTTACTTTAACAAAAATTTGTCTGTATTCGTTGGATATACTATAAAACCATACCTAAAAATTCAATAACTTCATTTCTTCTTCCCCTTCTAAAAAAAAATCACAAAAATACGCTGTTTCAGAACATTCTAATTCAAGACACCACCTTAATGCGACGGGATAAAGCATTTTCATGACACGATGAAACAGCCGGATTTTCCTCTATCGACTTTCCAACAGATCGTTGCATGTGAAATAGTCAATTTCGTGAACGCGTGCCATCTTTAGAAGAGTTTGTTGGTTGTAAAATTTGCTCGCTTGCCTACGAATTAGACATTCGTATGTGTTGCGAGCTAATTTCAAACTGCGGAATCTCCGTGGATGATCGTTGTGTATAACGCAATCGATTATCGATCGCCAAGCAGCAAATTATGTTAACGAATATATTGTCTATTAATATCAGGATTAAATGCAATTGGAAGTACCTGGCAATGTTAACGCAGCTTCCTCGAAAGCTGCATTAGCGTGACAATACGAACGTGAAAAGTATTTCTAGCTGAACCAACGAAAAATTATCGTGGTTTTACGATATGTCGCGTGTAGCGGGAATTCGGCCGTTTCATCCGCGATAATTTGATGATCAGAATTGGTTTCCACGTGCTACCGCAAAGGATGCTAATATCCAAACGTAATTAATCGTGTCAGCAATGTACTTTGGGTTGTTAGAACGTTTGTCAAAGATTTTGATTAATCTGTTCGATTATTGCAATTAGTGTAGACACAAGAATTAGTCCATTCATCCTGCAATTATTGTTGACACACGATTAATCTCTAAAGTTAGATAACGAAGAATGTAGAATCAAACGATTTACAGTCGAGTCGATAGATATTTTTAGAAAATTCTTACGGTGCACAATGTTAGTTACGATGCTAGATACCGTAGAAACATGAAACGCGATAAGCGTAACCCAGGTTTATCGTTATTTCAATCAATTGTCGCGTAATTTCGTTCGAAAACTAAATGACCAAATAAAAATAACGTAGCAACGACGCTTGTTATGAAAACAAAATTTCAATCTGAAAATACCTCGTGGATATTGCAGCTTTTAATGAACTACAGCTTCGAGAAATATACAAAAGCGGCGGAACATCGTGGTAATAACGGCAGTACGTTAGTCGAAAGAAAATAAAGAAAAAGGGAAATGTATGTGTACGCTGCAGTAAATTTTACGTCTGGAAGGATAACAAGGGTTTGCCCAATTTCTCCGAGCAATACATAACATCGCCTTGCTACAATGTTGCAATTACGTTGGTTAGTCGCTGTGTTACAAGCTGCATCGTGGACAATGATTTAAGGGTGAAACTAAAGTCGATAAATAATGCGAGAAATTTAAAGTAACGCCGACGGAGAGATTAATCGGTAAATTGCTTGCATCCTTTCTAATCTTAGTTGCTCCATGAGGCAAAGCGTAGAGTAAGATAAATCGCAGCTCGCTCGTCTGATTAATCGTTCTTCCCCATAGAATGCAGATTGCCCTCGATATACACTTTAGTTGATACCGGCTAAGTTATCATAGTTTGCTCAATTTTTCGTTGCTGTTCCGCCATATTCCACGGAAAATACGATGAATCTCGTCCACCTTGGACCAGAGGCTCGTCAGATCCGTGTAACAAAGTTGGAAAAATTCTCTTTGGAAAGCGACTGCGGAGATCAACGAGGCAGAGCGGAACGTCGTCAAAGAGAACGTAAAGGGGACGAAGCGTTCGAATAATTCGCCGTTTTTGCATTGAAACGTATCGGCGTCGAAGGTGCGCGTGTTTTTGAAAATTAACGCGTTATTAGAGATGCAAATGATGCGCGATTCGAAAAGGTTCATTTAATATTCAGCGGATAGCAGGACAATTTAAAGTACAAAGGCCGAGCCAGCTCGATGCATGGGACGGAATTCAAGCTGGAAATTGAAAAGCCGCGCGACAATCCTGACCGGCCGTAATTCATCCCTTTTGTGTCTAGATTTGTTTCCAATGAAGACGCATTGTGCAAAAACGTACAATGCCCGCCAACTTTCTCTTCCATATGGTAATTAGCTCGTGTAATTTATTCGCTGTCCGTCTTAAAAGTTCGTTACACGTTCGTGCACGATCTGCAAAAACGTCGTTTTTACGTGGCCTTTGATCCGTTTCATCTTCTCCATCCGTTGCTCTTGGGTCTGTCGTTGCTACTTTGCTAAAGCAACGTTTTCTGCAAACGTACGTTGACGCGGGGATGATACGAAAGATCGATAAAGTTATCGGCGAATGTTTCATAATTCAACAAACAGGCTGTTATACGTGTTTATAATATGTATAATGTATAAATAATTAGTAAAAATAAAATAATACAATGTATAAATAATTGTAATAAGAAATAATAATAACGGATAATAATTATAATATGTATTTGGGTATAATAGCTACAGATAATTATAATAAGAAATAATAATAACAAATAATAATTATATGTATTTAAATATAATAGCTACAGAGAATTATAATAAGAAATAATAATAACAAATAATAATTATATGTATTTAGATATAATAGCTATAGGTAATTGTAACAAGAAACAAGCACGTTATAATTAGTTGTAATTAAAACGGCACGGTGAAAATACAAATATGTAGAGCAAGTTATTTTTTCGCGGAATCTGCGCGTATTTGCTAATTGCGAGACGGATGATATCGAAACTTGCCATTCTCGTGAGTTTGTGGTTTTTCGTGTTGCGAGAAAAATCATGTAACTTGCGTAGGAAGCTGTAAAATGATCGTGTACGATTGGAGGAAGTTTCTCGTACGCGTCGGATATGAATAAGCGTGTAGGTTTCACTATTTATTTTTATTCTTCGATATTATGTAGTGTGTTTATATGTAACATGTTTATATGTAATCCTGTTTATATTTAATATCCTGTTTATATGTAAGAACGTAAATCCTTGGGGCAAATAAGACGATCGATTCTGGAAAATCGAGTTTATTTTGGGAATAAATGGAATTATATACAATAACAGTTAATAATATAGGATTTTTTGTTTTGTTTGGAAATATTAGAAATTAGGGTTTCCAATGATTTCTATCCCATATGATAAGTTTATTGATCGATAGATTTATTTACAATGGATTAAACAGGAAACGATGGTTATTTAACGTGTACTACATACAGTAATGCGCTATAACTAAGACAACTAAATAGTTAATTCACAACCCACAATTAATAGTTTACAACTCATAACAACTCGGCTACTAAACTCTCGACTCCTCACAACTCGACTCTTAACTCGCGACTATTCAACTCGGCTCTCCATTCACGATTACTCCACTCGACTCTCCACTCACGATTACTCCACTCGACTCCCCACTCACGACTACTCCACTCGACTTCCCATTCACTACTACTCCACTCGACT